ACTTCGAAGCAGCATTGGAGAAGACCGAAGAACTAGAAGATGACCGTATCTCTGATTCCAATTCTAAAGCTCAAGAAATAGCACCATTAGGCAAGAATAAGGCTACAGAAACTGAAGAAAAATAGGTTGAAAAAGCAGCACTGGAAAAAACTAGAGAACAAGCCTCCAACTATGGTTATAATTTTCAAAGCCTTCAAAAAAACAAAGTCATCATGGTTGTTGAATCCTTGAACCCAATAGAAAATCCTCTTGAATCCAATAAATTGACTGACATTCAAAAAAACTAATAGGAAGAAACCCATAGCTTTATATGGCCAGATATTCACGGATGATGATGTCATTGTTTTGCTTCAAGGTATGATCGATTTCAAGTCTATGCATGGGGATAAAAAGATGATTTCAAGTCTATGCATGGGGATAAAAAGATGAATGCTTTTTATTTTTTCATCAAGGACAAGCTTTACACTCTGTTTACAAAGATTCAGATCACCAAAAAATTTTAAAGACTTAGAAAAACGTTTGTAGGAAACTTCAAGCAAACTACAGGGAATGGTGGCCCTCTAGATTTCTCTAGTCCTCATGACTCAATTGTTTTCGAGCTTTTCATTAAACTTTGGGAAAATGATGGGTGTGATAAAAAACCTATCGCAGAAATCAATGAAAAAATGAGAAAACGTAGAAGAGTGTAGTTGGGGTCCAAAAAAGAAGATAAAAAACAGAAAGGAACTGTTGAGGATTGTTACGGGCCCCTAGGGGCCCTCCACTTCGACCATCCACCTCATCAGCCACATGTAGACGAACTGATCAGGTGTTGCCACGTAGCAGATAAGCTGAATTCGTGATAGACGAACTAATTCCCTAACTCCGAACTAAAATACCATTGCCCTACTCAGTGGAAGATCCGACCTCATCAGCCATTCACGACGGATGCAAAGGCCCGCACTCCGCACCTATTGCACTTCACAATCTTCCTCACCACACCCTCACTAAGATCTTTTAGGAGATCTTCAAAGTCGGGTTTCTGACTGATTGATGGGATGTGTATCAGGCTACAAACAGTCAACTCATCTAATATGTTGGAAACCATTTAATGTCCACCAATCTATGGATTTACGGAATGACGCCTATGAGAGGTTGACTCATTCGGGATCTGAAGCCACGTGTCCC